AGATGAGACTTTTTCTTAGGAAGTAATATGTACATTTGGCTATTACTTGATTTTAATATTCATTTGATGGAGCTATTTAACAATTATATATATTTTCTTTTCTTGATTCATATTAAAAACTCCAGATATATTAAGATCAGGTACAATCACATCAAAGCAATGAAAATAAATTATTTAAAAATATTAATGGGAAAATTCTTTTAAATACCTAGTTATGAATTTGTAAATTTATTTATGTGTAATCACCACTGTAGTGTTTTTCAATATTAGCTTTGTTAACTCAGGAGAAAAACTTTCTGCACTGCATCTAAAATACAGCTAGAGTAGGAAATCATTGTTTTTATTTTATTTCATTTTTTTCTGTCAATTATTGGAATTTTACTATGTACCAGACTTCACTATCTCATTCAATCCATACATAATCTTGTGCAGTAGGTATTATAAGAATCTCCATTATGCAGACAAGGAAACTACAGTGTGGAAGATTAATAAATTTATCTAGGTTTGCTTAATCTCACTACACTATACTATTACCACTTTGCATCATCTGGACTCATCCACGTAAATGCTTTTATTTTTGCTCTTCTATGCATTTAGAAGTAGAAACAGTGCTACTGATCTTATGAAGTCTGAGATATCATGTTCTATAAATGGACTTCTTGAGGAAAAACATTTTTAACTTAGGAAGATAAAGATTTAAAATATTTGCAGTAGACATTGTAAACATTGATGTCATTGAAACATTGTAAACATTGTAAACAGTAGATTGTAAACATCATACTTAATTCTCCTTTGCTTTTTACATACTAATGTTAGAAAAATTAAATATTGAGAGTATAGACACTTAAAAAAGGGAGACATAACCAAGAACAAAAAAACTGAAATATTAATTTCACATAAAAAAAGCAAGACAGAAAAAGGTTTTGATGTTATTTTTTTGTTTGTTTGTTTGTTTTTGTTTTTGTTTTTTGTCATCAACTTTCTGTTTTACAATTCTAAAATGCCACCTNTAGATGAAAACTAGCCTCGCAAATACTATTCTTAAATTCTTTAGCTAGGTAGTTGGTACATATAGAAGAAATAGTTATGTGTTTATAATTAAGTAGACTATGGCTTGAAATGTTTTGTTTCCTATGATCTTTACCATTACTATGGCCACATAAGTAAATCTATGCAGGTGAATACCCTAGAACCTGTAGCCTGCTTGTGTTGTGCATCGTCCTCTGATGACCTCAGATGGTGCTTACCTGATAAAATATAAATAAAAATTATATTTATTCATTCTACAAATATTAATTAAGTACCTACTCTGTTTCACGCCCTGTTTTAAGCACTTGGGATATGTGGTGAACAAACAGGCCCAAATCCTTGCTCTCATGGATCTTATAAATAAATGAGCTATAAATAAATAAATTAAATAAATAAATAAAACATTAGTGTGTTAGACAGTGATAAATTAAGGGAGGTAAAGTAAATAGAGGAGGAGGTTGGAGTGTTTTGGGTTGAGGGAGTTTGCATTGGTAATAGGGTGGGTAAGGAGAGGCCTTGTTGAAAAGGTGATAGACTAACACAGGCCTGAAGAAAGTGAGTGTGTGAGCCATGTTGGAATCTGGGAGCCAGGCAAAAGGAACAACCAAGTACCAGCCAGGTCCCTAGGAGGAATTGCGCCTAGTGTATTGGAGGAACAGCAAGGTCAGCATGACTGGAGTGGGTTGCACAAGGACTCACAGCAGGAGATGAGGTTAGAGGGAGCCAAATTAGATAGGACTTGATAGGCCATTGCCAGGACTTGGGCTTTTACTCTGAGCAAGATGGAAAACCATGGGAGGGTTTTTAGCAGAGGAGGACATTATCTACCTTTTAAAAGGATCCCTTAGGAGGGTTAAGGTAGAAGCAAGGAGATCAGTTAGGAGGCGACTGCAGTAACTCAGGCAAGAGGGAGGTTGGCTTGAACCAGAGAGATCAAATGCCAGATTGATTGGGACTAGACATACTTGATTTAAAAATATTTTTTCAAAGCACCCAAATTTGTGAGGTTGATCAATTTTCGTTTTAAAGATGTTTTCCACTGGTTCCTTCTTACATACTTTGATCGGCGAGTCTGTATTTAAGGTCCCTTTTCCCCATTAATTCTAAATAAACCACACTTACCACTGCAGCAATTGTTGTATATAAGTCAAGTTTCCCTTCTCACCATGTTTTATTTACAGTTAAGGTTCAGCTGAACCCCCCTCCCCTCCCCTCTTTCTTTCTAAACTTTAATCCCATCTGACTTCTAAATCCCTTCAGAATTATTTGAAGCAAAGAATGCCTGCTGACTTCAAAGAGCAGTTCACATTTGGATTTACTCGGTGGGGTATATCGCAAGAGTAGTGGAACCTTCCTTCCTTTCCATGCAGAATAGTGTGTTTGGCAGTGATATATGCTGAACAGTAAGCAGTCTGTTAAAAAAAGGAACATGCTGAAACTTTTTGATTTGTTGTTTTGAAAAGGACTTATTTTCCTTTGGAGTACTTTTCAATCCTAAATCTAATCTGTTATTTTGTAGCATTGATTTGTATTAATAGAAACTTGATTAACTTTCCTTTCATTACTCTGTCCTTAAGGTCATACTACAGATTCGATTATCTATGTAGCATAACATAATATAAATGAATATTTGGTTTGTAAAGATTTCTACATCTTATTGTTTTAGTCATTTCTTGAAAGGTAGATAATTTACTACACCAGTCCTCAAAAGAAAATCCCTTGTGTGTTATTCTTGGCTTTGTCAAAGATGATTTATATAGGCCCTATAATTAATGCTGATACAAAAGAAGACATTAGCTTGAGAAAGAATAATTCTTTGTATAAAAATATTATGGTTGCTCATAAGGCGAAGTCATAAAATCATCACCTAATCTTGTCTAGTAAAATACATATGCTAGCCGTTCTACATTATTTGGTTTCTAGCAACTGGATGGGATAAAGTTTAGAGGTTAATGTGATGTGAATATGCAGAAGGGTTTAGAGTATAAATTCTTTTTTTCTTCCTCCCTTGTCCTACTTTCCATGAGCCATATTCACCTTTCTCTAAATATCTGCCCTTTGCCCTTTACCCATTAAAGTTAGTTTCGTAAGAACTGGAAGTAGGGACTGCTATTATTGGTTGGGTGTATGTTCTGAGAGCACCCAAATGCATTGCTAAAAGACTGGAAAACTTCAACAAGGAGATAGTGATAAGAACGGTAACATCTACATCTTTCAATGTTTATGAAGTTAAGGCAGTCTGTACAAAACTGACATTTCAATAGCTATATCAACTGTTGTCAAAGCGTGGTCTTCAGATCCTTGCTGATCCCCAGAATTCCTTCATAGAGTCCTCAAGGTGAAAAGTATTTTTGCAGTATTTCTGAGAAGTTATTTGCCTTGTTCATTGTGTTACCATTTGCACTCATAGTGAATCCTTAGCATGAATCAAGGCAATGGCACCAAACTAGACTAGTTGTCATTGTATTGTCCAATAATGCATACTCAATTAAAAAAAAAAANAAAGGACAGCAACTTGTCTGTCCCCCTTCCCCCATTCCCCAATAAAAAAACAAAAAACCCCGTACAATGGTGTTCTTACTACATGGGTCAAACTTTTCCTCAGTTATCTCAAAGTGCTTCATTCCAATCAGTCTATGAATAGGTTTCTGAGACACCTATTAAACTTCTATTGTTCACCTTATTTCCTCCTTGAAATCTTCGCCCCATCACTGTCATATGCCCGAAATACTTTCTCCTTTTCACCTACGTAACCTATTTTTAATCACTCAAATGACATTTTAAATTTCTCTTCTTAGAAACTTTCCAGATTCATGAAAAGAAGACTAATGTCTTTATTTAAAGGAAGCTCTCCTGGATCACACTCATCTCTTGGATCTCCACTTGGTATTTTTAGCCTTGCCCCTAATTTTCAATCTTGATTACTTGTCATCATTGACCTTTTCAGGCACATTTTGTAATTTATTTCTCAGTGGTCTTATTTCTCTACAAAGCACATATTCTCATGTTTATTTGCATTAAAAAATGAAATCAGATATTTTCTGATTTAATAATTGGTATTGCCATACATGAATTGCAAAAAACAAACAAATACCAAAAACCCAGCTCTTCTGACCTCATCAAGATGGGCATTTCAATAAAATATATTAAATTTTTAAATTAAAATTTGTAACATATATTTTGATCAGTTGTGAATAATTGCAATAATTATTCAGAAAAAAAAATATACCACTCCAATTATCTAGCAATCTCAGTTTTGGGAATCTAAAGAAATAAAAGCACCTTCATTTAAAGATATAGTTGTGATGATATTCATAGCAAAATGCAAAACATGGGGAAAATCTTGACCATAAGTAGGAGAATGGCTTAATTATGGGACATCTGTTCTGGGGAACATTATATAGCTAGCTACATAAAATAATGAGTAACATCTATAAGACTATAAGGGATATCCATGATACACTAAGAAATGAAAAAAGGCAAGGCAACATGAAGAGTAATAGGCATAGTATAAACCAATTTTAAAAACCACAATAATCAACAACCTCCCAAGTATTTTAAATATATCCATGGATATATATGTGTATACACACATATACATATACACACACACAAAAAAGGTTTGGAAAGAAACACAAGTGTGTTATCTCAGGAAACGGGCAGGAAAAACTTCCTAATATATTTCTACATTCTCTTACAACTTGGATTGAGAAAAAGATAACAGATTTGCATGTTTTTCAATATTAAAAATGGAACCATGGATTTAGAAATAACAAAAAATTCAAGTATTCGCTTAACAATTTAAAAAGTTAACATCCACCAATATGGTACAGATTTCTGTGAAAAGAAAAAATGGGGGCTGGGGAAATGGGGAGGAAAGGAAAATACAAGATAAAATGGCACTGAGTTTATTTCAATTCGCGTTATAATTTATTTTGGATTACGTTATGCAAAATCAAATTAGAACTTACCGTACAGCAGTACTGAAGGGCTATGGCATTTAAAGTGTCTCCTTCCTGTATATCTTTTGTTAACACTATAATGTCATCGAGTCTATCTCTTGATGTACTTCTTCGGATTTTCTCTTTTCCTCTGGATCGAAGCTCATACACTTCAGCATCCTCCTCTAACATGTCACTCTCCGTACAATTTCCAAATGCGTGTACTTGACCACTTGAATGAACTCCTGGAAGAGGAAAACTACGATTCTGATGCCTCCCTGCCATAATGTCAAAATCTGGGGGAAAAGAAGGCAGAGAAAACTCTGTAATGTAGTTGATCCATTTGACTTTTACATGAATTCGGGACACGTTTATCTTTTGTTTTTTTAAAGGATGGTTTTAGTTATTTAAAAATTTAGGTTAAAGTTTTATAGCTGTTGAAATACAGTGAACATGTGGCAGTGGAGACAATGGAATGGGACAAAGAGGTAATCCATTTTTATAGACCATATATCACAAAACATGTAAGGGTGATTACATTTTAACTAGGACAGCTTGCTATAATTTTTTTTTAGATTAAAAAAATTAAGTTCTCCTTATTCTGAGTATGTGAAAAATATTAAATAATTTTGTATTATGTCTTAAGAACTTGTGATCATATATGTACAATTTATAGTTCTGATGGAATCAAATGTTTTATAGGTACACAATAATACTTTTATGAACCCAAAACTTTTTGGCTTGTTCTGCATTTTAAGTTGAGGTGGAGTTGAAATACATTTTGTATTCCTACCTACTTTCTTGTATCATGCTGATGTGAGAGTGTATTTAGTGCAGTAGGTACCTTCTGTATAGGTCATGATTTTGCTCTCAACCAGGCGTTTTTCTTCTCTGGAAGCCTGTCACCAAACTTTAACTTATCAAAATACTCACCAAAATCAATTTACAGTCCATAAAGACAGAAAAGATTTTAAGTCACTACACACATTTCTACTTCAGAGAAGATATTGTAAGATTGACTTGAGAGCTGACCTAAGTTAAAAACATGTCAATTAATACTTTTTAATTGCATACTCACTCTCAACTCACCTTCAAGTTGGTCTATTCTCATTAAAACAAATATGAGAACATAAACTAATTCCACATTCACATTCACAGTTTTAGCTTCATATTAATTGTTCACATAAGAAAGGATAGATTGCTTTCAGTTATTGTTGTGAAAGATGGAGAAAAGTGGACAAGTAGAAAGGCATTTTGGAGATAAAATACTTAGGACTTAATAATATAGCTCAGGAAGAGTGGAAAGAAGTTAAAAATCATGCTAGGATTTCTGCTTTGCATCAGAGTAAATGGTGATGCTGTTCTTTAAGATACAGAACACTGGAAGAAGAGCTTGGGGGAAGGGCGCAGCGAATATGATCATAAACTCTAAGACAGCCCAAATGAATATCAAGTAGCTCAGCGGGCTATATAGTTAAATTCAGAAAGGTCTGGGTTAGAGAGATAATTTCATGACTCATCTTTCACCTAGGTGGAAACTTGAAGCTGTGGGTGTAAGTGAGATTACCTAGAGAATACAGAATAAGGAAAGAGGGTCTAAGACTGAGCCTTGAAGAACTGCTATTATTTAGTATCTGGGTGAAGGATAATCAGCATGCAAATAAAGAAAAGGAGTGTTCAGAGAAGGAGGAAACCATGCTGGTCACGGAAGCCATAGCAAAATGATGTCTCAAAGGACTTAGTTCAGTTGTGAATATTACGGACAAGTACCAAGTGAAACAGAGAAGAAAAAAAATCAGAAAAGACCAACTCCAAAAGTCTGAATTTGTAATATGGATTATAACAGATTATACTTTTCTATGTAGGCACATACTTAGAAAATTTTTGGAATTATTTCACGTAATTGAATTCAACCCTTGAAAATCATTTTCTGACCTTGCTCTATGGCAACATTATAATGGTTTAAAACCTCAAGAATTTCAATTCAGACAATATAATGAATAGTTATAAGGTAGATTATTTCACCTGTTACTCCAGGTGCTACATTATTACCATGAACTGGGATTCCGAACTTGACAGCCACCAAACTGAAGAAATCTACCCACATTTTCCATCTCAAAAGCAGTTTTGAAGGCATGATCATACCTATTCTTTCAAGGAATTCTAACCAGTGACAAATTGATTAAACTTGTTTTAATACAATAATAAATTAAGAACGCTTTATTTTTGTTATGTGAAAGACTATCTCAACTTCACCTAAAATAGGTAAATTTTATTTCCATTTATTTAACCAAGTCTTTTCTATTCTGTATCTTTAATCTAGGAACTAAGAATCCGGTGGATTCATAGGCACATTTTATACATATGTACATTTTTCTAGGGAGAATACTGTTTTCACAGTCTTAGAAGTGTCCATGAGGGCCGGCCGAGTGGCTCAGTTGGTTAAGAGCTCGCTCAAGAGTTTGAGCTCTGAGCAACAGCGGTTCGAGTCCCGGCCCAAGCTGAGCTGCCAACAGGTGGCAGGATGGCTCAGCTAAAAAAAAAAAAAAAAGTGTCCATGACTTTAAAAAGAACCACTTAATATACAGTAATTTACATATGGCGATACTACTAACCCAGTTATGCTGCCCTTTACACTTTTCTCCCTCATAATTTGTTCTTCGAACCCCAAACTTGCTTAGTGCAGCTGAAAGTCATGCAGTAATGCTCAAAAGCCATTTCAGATATTTACATAACCTCTCTCTAATACTTGCTAAATAATACTTAAAGACTGAACATCTGTCTCCCTTTCACTTCCCGTTGTAATGAAATGCAGGCAGAATACCATAAACTAGTATTCTGCTTCTGAATAATCAAGAATTGGTTGTGTGTCTCATCCAAGTGAAAAACTAGACTTTGGCTCAGGCAGGCAATCAGCTGAGTCAACTATATAGAGATTAAAGGTACATAGTATTCAAATTAGCTGATCTGATTCAATTCTCTTCACCTGTCTTAATTCTCTTTAGGCAGGAAAAAAAGCAGGAAACCTCCCTTCAGAAAACTGAAACAAGCTTGCAGACTGCAGATTACAAAATCGGCTGTAGATTACAAAAAGTAACTACCAGTTGATACGGTGTTAAAAGCACTCATCAGCTCAGCCTGTAAATGTAAAGGGTTTCCCGAATCCCTTCGCTCTGTGTAGTAACTGCCGTTGGGTGTTTCGCTCTGACATTCCTTAAACAGGGAGCAATAAAGTACACGGTAGTTTTGCATCAGGACAAATCACAGGGACCGTATCCTCCAGAGCCAATTCAGGTTTTAAAAACGTAACCCTTCCGCCTCTGCATTACACACGTCTAGTTTTTCCTTTTCCTGTTATCCCCTGCGATGATTAAACCTCAGATTTTTGCCACACCATCACACTTGGACGATATGACAAGATGCCGCCTGCGAATATTCAACACAAACACTTAATTGTGGGAGAAATACAGAATTTGGGTGTAAAATTCGTTGCTCCTGCGATCGGGCACGTAAGGGTCCTTCCTCTGAGCCTCAGTTTCCCCCTATAACGTATCGAGAAGCTTTGGTTGGGTAGGTCTCAAAGGTCTCTCTACCTCAGGGTCTTTTTCAGCCGCCCCCGTCACACCTGTGGCCGAGGGCCCCGCGTCGCCTCTCGCGGGGGTGCAGCTGGAGCCCAATCCCGCCGTCCGGGACGGAGCCACTCCCCATCTCTCGCCGCCATCTTTACCTGTCCCGTTAGCAAGGGGGACGCGACGAGGAAACAGCTGCCAGGTCCGCCACCGCTGCCGTCCCGGGTAGGTTCATGACCAAGCCCCAGTTTCTAGCTGCCTCCGTGGTCCTCCTCCCCAGCCGCGGCCAACGTCTCCGCCTTCCGGGCCTTGCGCCGCCGCCACGTCCGCAAACCTGCCATGCGTCATCGCGTCAAGTGGGCGGGGGCGGAGGCGGGAAAAGGCGGGGGCGGAGGGAGCAAGGAGAGCCCACAGCTCGGGCTCCCCAACCACAGGCCTTCGCCGGGTGCGCAAGCGCAGAGACGCTGCCGGGACTAGGGGGCGGGGTCCGAGTTCCAACCCCTCCCCTGCCGTCTCACCTTTGGCCCCGCCCCGTCATCTCCAGGAGCGGGGCGCCGCCCGCCAAGTCCTCTGGCTAACCCGGAGACGGGGGCGATGTGCTGCCTCCATCAGTCTACACAGCACTGCCAAAACTGTCTAGAAAGCATTGAGTGGGGGGAGGTGCTGAGGCTTTGTCGGGAGCTGTTGTGCATTTCTTTTTTGTTTCATTTCGACGTTTGTAGAGTGGGGAAGAACGCCCAAAAGCACAGTGTTAACACCTATGTTTTAGAAAATTGTACTACGCTTATTACTCATCATGCTGAAGCCTCTAGACTTCTGCAGAAAAGGCAAAACGGGAGAAAATCCTCTGGGCGGCGAGGGACGGTTATTTCGTTCAGCCTTTGTGTTTATAGGTGAGGAAAGTGAGCCACCTAGAGTCAGGCCCTGGGAAATGTTTGCCCTCGAGCCTGCTTCTCAAACTGCCTATTCTGAATGAGACAAAGCTGTCTGCAGATTGTAGCTTAACTTACTTTGTTTTGAAAAATAATTGAAAGTCGTTGATAGTTACTGTTCGGGACTATGAGATATTAGTTTGTTAAATAACAAATTCTTGACTTCATACATGATTTTTCTCACAAATTTACTAAATGAGTACGATAATGTGTTTGGAATTTATGTAAATGAGCGTAAAGCGTTTTAATGATGTGCCTAAAGTCAACCCAGTGTTGAAGTTACAGACTTTGCGCTTTGACGACCGTGCTGTCTTATGACAATATACATTTGAAATCCAAACAGGCGGGGTGCACGATGCAGAGCACTTCTTTTCAGAATCTCTGAATATTTATGCATCATGAAGCCTTTGAAGCTTTGTTTTAAATTATTTTCAAAGAGTATGTTTTCTGGGAAGTGTCTCAGTAAATGTTAGGAATTCTGTATTGCAGTATTTTTCTTTTCTTTGTGGGGATAGGCGTCGTGCTTGACAATGCTACAAAAAGAACTGCAGGAGAGGAAGAATTAATTTTTTTTTTAAGTTTCTCCGAGTTCTGTGTGTTGTTGCCCTTGTGACACCCCTGTCTGTAACCATTTATCACTGCGACATTTTCTCATCACTAAACAAAGGATATATTCCCTACTTGATGTGTAAGGGCTTCAGCTGCTCAGCCTTCATGAATGTTAATGTGAATACAACCTTCTTTCTGCATATAGGTTACTTTTCTTATTTTAATGTCAATAGGCAGTGGAATCCATGTGAGAGCCTGAGTGATAGAATTTCAAGCACTTCTACAGGACTGCCACCTGTTTCCTTTGTATAAATACTTTCTCAATTGTATCTGCATGCTCTTGAATTGTAATTTACAGTTTTAAAAAGATGTAGTTATTGAACTTTTTACAAAAGACAGTAATAGAATTATATTTATTATTAGGATATACAAAGGAAGCAGTTAGCCATGAATTTTGGCCAAGTTCCAAAAAGCTGGTCAGTAGGAACAAGAACTTTGTCTTTGTGAAAAAGGATGTCCCCAGTGCTCAGCAAAGCCAAAAGGATTTTCAGTTTTTTGAGACCTCATCTGACACAGTTTTCATTAAAAGGCTGTAGATGAGAGAATGTGTAGTTTCTAGGATTGTGTGTTTTTGTCTCTAAACTTAAGGTTTGGGGATTTGCTCCAGAATAAAAATTGTAATGATAATGTAAATTGATGCAACTGGTTAGGAGTGTTACTTGGCAATATCTTTCATAGTTAAAAATACAATGGACTAAACTATTCCATTGCTAAGTAATTCCCTTGGATTCACTTGCAGATACATATGGATAAGATTTAATAGATATGTTCAGGAATGTTTATTCAGTATTAGCCCAAATTAGCTGCAAATAGTCTAAATGTTCATCAGTAGCAGACTGGATACTTCTGGTACATTTAAATAATGTAATATTATGCTTTTGTTCAAAACAGCAAAGTTAATCTATTATTTTCTGATTTATTCATTCGTTTACCCAACAATTTTCTGTTGGAGGAAAAGTATATGTGAGACCTTTGTTGTAAGTATTGGGGATAGAGGGCATAAAAAGAGAAAGTGTCCTTATTCATGAAGGTTCCATGAATACGGACATGGAAAGATCTCCAAAGTGTATTTTAAAGAGAAAAAAGTAAGT